AGCAAAGATATCTTGATAACCACCAGGTAAATTTTAATTTTTTTTTTTTTTTTGAATTCTACGAGTCTATAAAATTCTAACAAAAAAAGGTCATCAAATTTAACTTGGTGGTTGTCGAGATACCTTCGCTCAGATTTTAAGAAAACTCAAAATGTCTATCAAAATAAAAATTTTTCTCAAACTTTGAGCGAAGATATCTCGACAACATACAATCCAAATTTGATGAACCTTTTTTTATTTGCATTCTACGAATCTGTAGAATTCAAATAAAAAAAAAAATTATCAAATTTGATTTGTGGGGTTTCGAGATATCTTCGATTAAACTTAAAAAATTAAAATAATTGTTATAATAATTTACATGATTTGATTGGTTGCTGCATCATGTGAAATGATCGACATCGATAAACGTTCCTAATTGGTGCATCTTTGTAGGTCCTACTGGGGTAGTCAACTTTAACTGTCTTAGCGTTACCAACCTAAAAAATTTCACTGGCTAATCAGATTTCAAGATCTGGTGTGACGCAGAAGAAACGCAAAAAATCAAAACAAACCAAAAAAATCGCTTATAACTCAACATTTTATCTATGAAACCACCTACTTCGCATTAACAAAAAAGTTTTCCTTGCGAAATTTTGGCACTACTAAAGCTTTTTATAATCTAACTTAACAGCAAAACCTAATCCCGATCTAATAGCAAAATTTTTTTAGTGAAGTTTTTTAGGTTGGTAACACTAGATCAGTTGGCTTACACGTTCCAATTGGAATCTATAAGTCCAATGTTTCTGTTTATAAGCCCAGTGGAACAAGGTTGGTCCATTGCCCAATACTGACTATATCAGATAATATAAGTTGATTATAATTATTTTCAGTTACACCTCCATATAAGCACCTTCTATATAAGCACATTACCTATATAATCATATTGATTTTTGAACCAACTACTATTAAATATATAAAAGTAGGTTCACATTTTCTATATAAGTGATGCCAAGGGAAAAGGGCACCTTGGCAATTTAAGTCTATTACTAATTAATTATCGAGTTCAGCAATGATGCAGATCGGGCGTGTCTATTAACGTTAATGTATAATTTAAAGGCCAATCTGCATCATTGCTGATGGTGTGAATTCGATTGTAATTAGTAAATTAAATCAGATAACCATTCTAAAAATGCAAAGATGCTTTAGCGCATTTTTTCTAATAGTTTAGCAACCTCAAGTTATTAATAAACATTAGCTAATAGAAGTAACGAATAGATGTTTCTCAATCGCTACTATAATTATATATTTGATATCACCATCTACGATGTTTATCTCTTTATGTCCTGCACGTCCTTGGTTTAAATTGCTACTTAATATTAGAAAAAAAATTTTTCCATTGTTGATTTCTGGAATCTAGGTAATTCAATTTACCGGTACTTATTTTTGCAAGTGATACGCGGTCTTGCGATCTACATCGAAATTTCCTTTTTTGGGGTTCGTATCACTCACAGAAATAAGTGTAAGCGATTCCTATAATATAGGTAGTAAGACAAAAAATATCGAAACGGATAGGATTAACACTTCTATATATCGACATTTAGTGAATCTTATATCCGATATGGACAACTATTCAATCCGATTCGTGAATTTGGAAATGCAGTGCAATATATGTTGAGGTGTTCGTGTTACTCATACGATAAATCTTTTCAATCATATCGTACGATTATTTTTTGTCCCTTCTCTAAATTATAGCATCTGTTTATGTACTGTACGTACGTACCTCTTCACCATATTTTTTATTCTGCTGCTTCTCTTAATTATTTGTTTTATGCATTTTTGTTTTTGCTTTTTTTTTTCTCCGTTGTTATCGGATAAATTTCAGTAAATCTAGAACATTTCTTTTTTGGGATAATATTTATGATTTTTTTTATGCATAGCTAATTCAAATAAGGAAATCAAATATATTTTTGATCTACATTAGTACATTACAAAGAAATGAGATCAACAATACTACACAATATACAAATTTTAAGAGCTAACCTCCAATTTTGTTTATAAATCATCAAATTTTCAACCGATTCTTCATTCATTCCTTCTACTTTATATTTTTATTAGCATTTTAATATGAAAATTTGTTTTTATGCATGCGCTTCTGTGGTGACCTTTTTTTGGGTAGCTACAAAATTGGTAAATTGTCAAGCTGCAACATATGGGCAATGGGATTTTGTAGGATATTCTGGTGTATCTAGCATGCATGCTATCCTTTCTCCTAATACAAACAAAGTAGTGTTTATTGAAAGAGTAGAATTAACCACAAATGTTAATATAAATGGAAAACCTACTTACTCCGTAGAATATAATCTTGATACAAATGAAATAAGAGCTTTGACTACATTATCTAATACTTTTTGTTCTGCGGGGGCTTACTTGAAGAATGGGGTAAATTTTTTTATTTATCATATCCTACTGTATATAAACACCTTTATCAATTGTGATTAGTAAATTTTATATCTAAATTTTACATAAGCTGGGTGTGGTGTTTATAAATTAACTACGTAAATGCATTCGAATAATTAATTTTATATCTTTCTTTTAGACTATCATAAATTTAGGCGGTGCAGAAGCTCAAAAAGGTTTTGAAGAAGGGTTTAATCGGGTCAGATTGTTTAGTTCTTGTGATGATGGAACATGTGATTGGCAAAATGATGTTAATAATCTTACTGCGAAAAGATGGTATCCAACCGTCGAACAGTTAGCTGATGGTTCTTTATTTATCATTGGCGGTTCATCGGTAGGTGTATCAGTTAATAATGCAACTATAAATGTAGCTAGCTATGAAATCTATCCTCCAGCTCCTGGTGAAACGTCCATTCCACTTCAATTTTTAGTGGATTCTTTGCCATACAATTTGTATCCTTGCGTTCATCTCTTACCTGATGGGACCCTTTTTATTTTGGCGAATCAAAAGGCAATTGTTTATGATGTCACATCTCGGCAAATTAAAATAAATTTACCCGACGTTCCTAGATCAGCACGAAATTATCCATTGACTGGTGCATCTGCACTCTTACCGTTAGATTCCAGCAATAAAGCAGAAGTTCTTGTTTGTGGAGGTGGTAATAAAATTTCTCCTTCTCAAACCGTAGGTGAATTTAGTTGCGCACGTATTTCACCTATATCAAGTAATCCCACTTGGGAAATAGAAGAAATGCCCTTTGGTCGAACAATGCCAGACATTACCATTTTAGCAGATGGCACTGTTCTGATTCTTAATGGCTGTAATAAGGGTACTGCCGGTTTTAATAAAGGTAGTGATCCAGTACTCACACCAGTTCTCTATAATCCTAAAGCGCCAGCTGGTTCGAGATTCACTAAAATGCAACCATCATACATTCCCCGTATGTATCATTCCATCGCTATGATAATTCCATCAGGTAAGGTCCTAGTATCAGGATCAAACCCAAATGGTGTACCAAATGTTAATGGACCATTTCCGACTGAATTCCGTGTTGAAACATTCAGCCCACCATATTTATTTACTGGGGCACGTCCTGAGATCAAACAGGCACCTAAAGATTTAAAGTATGGTCAATCTTTTGAAATTGATTATGTAGCTTATAGCGGTACTCGCAAGATGACTGTCAACTTACATCAAGCCGGTTTCGTGACACATTCTGTACATATGAGCCAACGGTTGGTTTGGCTCGATATTACCAACTTTGAAGATAAAAAACTATCCGTGACGGCCCCAGCTGGTGGTGCTATAGCTCCTCCCGGGCCGTATTTATTGAACATTTTAGACAATGGTATACCAGCAAAGGCGGTTTGGGTCATGTTATCATAATAAAACTAAATATATTTATATACTTTAAAAAAAATAAATCATATACAAATGTATTATTTCAGGGATATAGCGATAGTCACATCAAAGGTACATTAAGCACTTTAAAAATACTTTATTTAAATTGAATATTTATCATATATAATTTATTAAATATATATGTAGTCAATAAAATACTTCTCGTATGCATATTCTTGCATCTCTGTGTGACAAATAGGACCGATACCATAGAATTAGACTTGTTATTTTGGTTATTTTAACTATCGGATTTACGATAAAGATATTATCATTTTTAAAGATTATAAATAAAGAATTTAACCATAATATTTTGTTCTTATTTTTAAAAACAAAGTTTAACCATCTAAACTTGGTTAACTAGGAAATTCCATATCCACTTAAGTCCCGTTCCAACTTACAACATATATAATTCCCGAGTTTATAATATTAAAAAAGTCTTTCGTACGTACGTGCATACATGACTGTGTTCAAGTAAAACGTTTACACCTATCGTTTACACCTATCGTTGATTCTTGCCATTAACCGTTATTCCTAACCAATCATATATAATGAAATTTGTGCTTGTTCTACGTACGGATAATAGGCAGGATAATAGGCAAGATAATCAAGGGCAATGCCAAGCAAGGTAAAAATAGGCTCTCGAATATTCACATAATATTTACATAAACCGTATGTGAAAAAAATGTGCAAAGTAAATAATAAATATTAAAAATTATATATATGTATGTATGACCATAATATATAGTTACCCTGGAAGATCAAATTCTTAAGACAAAAAAGTAGTTAAAACTAGGTTAATTTAGCCGGCTTAGTCGAAAAAGACTTCTACTTGTGGTAATCTTCGACATTTGCCGAGACAATTACTGTATTACTCTACATTACATGATTAAATGCTACATTATATATTAATATATTGTCCGTAGTTAGTAATGTAAAAATTTGTCGTCGCACATATTGCTACGTATAATCTAACTGCTTAATTCATATAACTAGTAATCATTACAACACATATGGTTTGATTAAAGGTATTATTCATGACTTGGAATCTCTTGCAATATAGGTGTCCCACTTTATTATAATCAATAATACATTTTAATAAAGGGGTCAATTATATTGCAAGAGATTCCGTAACTTGTTATAATATTTTAATAAGATAATTCGAATCTTAATCTGAGACCTTTCTATAAAGAGGTTATAAAACACAAATGTAATTATTTTTTATTGTTTTGTAAATGTTTTAAAGAAATCTCCATTAGAAAAAAACTATGCAAAATCACGTAGCAAGAGAGAATTTAATAATTATTGTCATAACGTTTTGAAAAACATTTAGATTCAATTCCAATTTTTAATGAATCAATTTTCTGTTCAGTCTCATTTGATTACATCGAATCCATCGGTTAAATATTGACCCAATATAGATATTCCAATATAGATATTAAAATTGTATATGTTAAGAACTTCTGCTATTTCACACATTTTAGTCATATTTCTCGATCATATATGCATGGCATCGATTGTAATATGGGGCCTTTGCAGTAGAAAGGGCCGATACTGTCCAAAAAATGAAAATTGAGTTTTTGACATATTCGGATAAATTTTGACATGTGCTACATTTTTCAATTATAGATGGAAATTGATTTGCATAATAAAAAATCGAGATATTTTAAAAAAATCTCTTTAGGAGACTCGTACGTCACGAGATTACCCGATTAACCCGGATCAGTCCTAACAAAACACTCAATTATTTCAAAATTGTATATATTCCAGTATCAGCTCTTTCTACTGCAAAGGCCCATATCATAAAAAAAAATACATATTTATTCGCTTTATTGATATAAATAATAGCAATACAGTCTTCCTTCTCTATAATCACCTCCTATATAATCACAACTCCTGTGCAATCACATTAAATTTTGAGATGATTTATTAATAAACTTA